TTCCCTCTCCACTCCTGCGGGAAGGATACTGCAAAATCCCCATTCCCTCTCCACTCCTGCGGGAAGGATACTGCAAAATCCCCATTACCTCCCCACTTCTGTGGGAAGGATACTGCAAAATCCCCATTCCCTCCTCACTCCTGTGGGAAGGATACTGCAAAATCCCCATTCCCTCCCCACTCCTGGGGCCAGCCAGAGATGACATTTGCCAGTTCTCTGAACTACTCAAAATTTTCACTACCGAATCTCCAGAACCTGTCAGAACCTGCTGAATTTCCCACCTGTGTTGTAACTTTGTCACTCAATGAACCGTTGGAAGGCAAGGATTATCTGTAAATAAAGGAAGATTCAGCATCTTCAGACCAGAAGAAGAAGGTCAAACCACCCAGATATTTGCATCAAATATCTTTTCTAAGATGTTTGGGATCTGGGTATCTTCCCATCCATTCTGTTTTGCCTTCCAGTGGCCATAATGGCATCTTGTGGATGGATGGATGTGCCATTCTCTTTTTGCCCTCTTGTCTCAAACAAATAACAATCCCTGGAATTGCAATTCAGTGTTGTCATCACCAGACAGGTGTGTCTTTAATTTCTCTGGGATGAAGTTCATCTAGAAGATTGAAACAGCATCTAATTAAAAAGTCAACCTCTTTGTGTCAGAATCAAATTTAAGGCAAGTCGTATGAAGTCCCTCCCAGTACATAATCAAATGGCTTATTAACTTTTTCTTTCCTTAAGAAAAGAAAGACAGATTGTGCTCACGGATTTGCCAAATCATATCAAATGAAATGCTTTGTCTTTTCTTTTCTCTCTCTTTTTTTTGGCATGAATGCAATGGTACACAGCCAGGTTTTGCTGCAAAATTAGAAGTACTGGAAAATATGCCTTGTATGTCACTAAACGTAAATTTGTTTTATGAAACAGAACCTTAAAAAAATACAGGCATTTAAAACAAGCCAATATAAATGAAACTCAAAAGACAGGAATATTACTCTTAGGTCTCCCTCCCTCCCTTCCTTTTCTTCTTTCCTTCATTGTTTCCTCCCTTCCTTCTTTCCTTCCCTCCTTCCTTCCATCCATCCATCCTTCCACTTTCCATTCCTTCCTTCCCTCTTTTCTTTCCTTCCTTTTTTCCTCTCTCCCTTCCTTCTTTCCTCTCTCCTTCCTTCTTTTCTTCTTTCCTTCCTTCTTTCCTCTCTTCCTCTGCTCTTTTCCTTCCCTCCTTTCTTTCCTTCCTTCCTTCCATTCATCCCTCCACCTTCCTTCCTTCCTTCCTTCCCTTCCTCCCTCCCTCCCTCCCTCCCTCCCTCCCTCCTTCCTTCTACCATAACCTTTTGATTGTGTTCAGTAGTCTTTTTTTCCTGATTGCTGTTAAGCCCAGATCCTTTGCCAGCTTCATTTCAGAGCCAATGGACTTTTACAGGCTTCCATGAAGGTTCATGGAGGGAAATTCAGACATATAATTGGCCAGCCTTTGCAAATATAAAGCTCACTTTCTCCTTCTCTCTTTCTCTCCTTCCCTCCTCCTCTCAGAGAAACTTCCAGAATGAAGAAGGGGGGGGATATAGCTCCCCCCCCAAAAAAGGAACTAAAGAGTGCCATCTGGTGCATAAAATCAAAGCGTACGCATTCACCAGTAAAACCAAAATACAGTGTCATTGCAATTGGCAAAGTTAAAAATCCTGAAAGGGTCAGCACTTTTATGCGTGTAAATTCAGGATGTTTTAAAAAATAAAAATTGCTGGATAATAAAACACCAAACACGCAAAAGATCTCCAATATATATTTCAGTAACAATAAAAATTAGTCCGTGCAATTCTGGCATGCAGAAAGCTGCTACGTAATCCCCTTCCATTCAGTTCAAAAGCGGGCTTCAGGGATGATGTGGTGATGATGGTGAAGATAATACTTGGGCTGATTTTTGCTCACGATGGCGTGGACAGTGTTTAAATGCCCTGGGGAGAGAGATGGCTGGGAAGGGTTTTGCGTTTTTTTTTAATCCTTGCAACAATCACCTTGAGTCCTTCCAAATCTTGTTCACACTTTCCGTTCTGAAGAGTCCCAGTGGGAAAAAAATCTCTCCTGGTATCTTTTTCCTTTATTCCCTTTCCCTTTATTTTAAGTGGGCTTAGGAACCTGGGAAATGGAGGAACATTCAAATAAACAAGAAGACCAACAAGAGACACACCAAACTGTTCCTCCAAGACTATAGGTCCAGGATGGAGAACCTATGACACACGTGTCAAACAGGGGTGCTACTACCGGTTTGGTGCCTGAAAATGTTTGCTCCGCACGTGGGCACATTTGCACTTTAAAAGGTCTGCACATGCACACACCATTTTTTAAAAAAAAAAACGCACTTTTTAAATGAAGATTGTGCAGAGCAGAAAATAAAGACGGCGGTGCCTGAGATAGAATCAGTACGGTCATGTGTTCAGCCGAGTTACTAGCCATTCGGCCGAACCGGGCCGAACCAGTAGGAACCCATCTCTGGTGCCAGAGGGGGCATGCAGAGCCCTTTGCTCTTCTGGGTTCCATTGCATGCATGCACACTAGATAGCTGGTCCTGCTTACATGCGTACTGGTCAGCTGCTCTCTTCCGTGTTTTGTTGTGCGCATGTGTGGCGGCCAGCTGGTCTTCGCGCATGCGCACGACAAAACCCAGAAGAACATCTGGCCGCCGCACACATGCACAGCAGCCAGCTGCTCTCTTCCGGGTTCTGGCGTTCTGGCGTGCGTGTGTGTATGCATGTTCCAGTTTCAGTACTTGGTGCTGAAAAGGTTAACCATCCCTGCTATACTTAGTCCTCGACGTAGGACTGCAATAGAGCCCCAAATTTCCACTGCTAAGTAAGACAGTTGTTAAGTAAGTTTTGCTCCATTTTACAACCTTTCTTGCCATCGCTGTTCAGAGAATCACTGCAATTTGCTAAATTAGCAACAGGGTTGTCAATCTGAACCACGCTTCCTCATTGACTTTGCTAGTCAGAAGGGTTCCACCACAAAACCCCGTTCGACTAAAGCGCGCTCGACGAAACCGCGTAGCTGACGTCATCACAGGGCGACAACAGCGCGGAGACAGAAGCACGCTGTAAACGCTAAACCTAAAATTAACCCCTAAACCTAAACCTACCCCCCCTAAACCTAATCCTAAACCTAACCCTAAACCTAACCCTTAACCTAACCCTAAACCTAACCCTAAACCTAACCCTTACCTTAAGTTGAATCGGCTTGCTTTCAAAGCGCTATTTAAAGCGCCCTTCTTTCTCCACGCTCGCTGTTGTCGCCCTGTTGATGACGTCAGTGACGCGGTTCAATCGGACGCGCTTTAGTCGAGCGCGGTTTTGTTGTGCCACGAGTCAGAAGATCCCAAAAGTGGATCATGCAGTCCTGGGTCACTGTGACCGTCATAAATATGAACCAGTTGCCAAGCATCTGAATTTTGCTCATATGATCGTGGGGATGCTGCAAAGGTCTTCAGTGTGAAAAACAGTCATAAGTCACTTTTTTCAGTCTGATTGTAACTCCAAACTACTAAACAAATACTTGTAAGTTGTACCCACCTGTACAAGCAACTGCCAAAGTTTTGGAAGTAATCCTAGGGCTTTTGCAAAAGACTTCCCAAGTTTGAATTTTCAACCCCCACCTATTTCATTAATTCAAGATAAATAAACTGTAAATTAATTCCCAATGTAATTTCCTTGCAAAGTCCCTGCAAATCAGAGCCACTTGTTAGCTTCTGGGAATTGCAATTGCAAAGATTCCTACACAGGAAGGAAGGTTGATCAATAATCTGCACAGGCAATCATGTTCCTATAGAAGATTTTCTTCTGATCTTAGCTACGCAAAACATGTGATCTGGTCCCTTGTTCTAGCCCTTGTAGGATTATATCCCAAAAGCAACATGAAACCTCTTAAAAGGTGAACAACAGTGACCAATTTCAAAATAGTTAACGGTTTAAGATTGTGATTTGGACTTTCTACCTGAATTTTGCATTCTGCAGCTGTGCTTTTAATATCCAGAAAACAACAGTTTGCAAAAGCCTGCAGATGGTGCTAGTGGACAAGTTTTCAGGACTGCAAAATCTCTCCCATAGCTTAAGCACCAAATATCTCACTGTAGCCATCATGCACAAGCTGTTTCCATCTAAAAGTTTTTTAAAGAGTAGGGGGTTAGACATTTAAGGTATGTAACTTAAATTGAAATATTAAATTGTTCCCACCCGACGACAAAAGATCAATGCAGCCTGCTCCATTTTGCTTCTCACATGAAAACAAAACTATTCTACCTTCACCGCAACAATCTACACTGACACTAGAGGGCAGCAAAGAATTAGAGGTTTAATTCTTTGCTGTCCTCTTGTGGTCATTCTAGAGCTTTGCAATTCAGATATGATGGATTTCAATAATTAAAAGTACTTTTCAACAAAATTGTAACAAAGCTGGAAAGTCCAACAACTGTTGATTTCATTTGGAGGTTCAAGATACAGTTCAACCAGATATCCTTGAGAAATCTACTAACTCCAACATGAACCTATCTGAATTGTACCTTGTGAGTATTCTTTTTTTAAATCCAAATACATTTAAAATGTATATTCATAGGAAAAAACAAAAATTTAAAAATCATTTAAAAAGAAAAATACATTGTGTAGTTAGATACACATGCTAATGTCCATACAAAAACAAACTAAAATATAAATGCATACAGGAATGGTGCAAAATATACATTATGAATAAAAGCATACAGAAATAGCATGTTACTGAAACAACCCCATTTTATCTATTTCTACCTCCAACTAAGCATTCACATTTCATCCAATTTATACGTGCTGAACAAAGATTTAACTGGAACACCTCCATGCTTTTCTTAATTTTATAACTTAGTTCATAACTGAACGAAATGAATAAATTTGCATATATTAAATCAAAGTACAAAGAATATGTATGATTATTTAAAGAAAGCACAAAAATGGTTTGTATTATGGAATGCTATTAGATGTGAGGAGGTACAAATATTCAAAGAAAAATGAGTCCCCTGGGAGAAATGTGGTTTAATCAGCATGTCAATCTTTGTATTTCTTTTGGTTAACTTACAAAATACATATATTTGATGAAACTTTATTGAACTTCAATAAGGAAAGGAATCCAGATAATCCCATTGTATAAGATCTGGATGCAAATCAAGCAAAGATGCTAAAAACTCTATGTGATTAGCCTTGTGTTACATTACCAATACTACAAAATCTTTTCAGGGTTTAAATGTAGAAGGCTCCCCTCGAACATATGCGCTAGTCGTTCCCGACTCTAGGGGGCAGTGCTCATCTCCGNCTTTAGTCGAGCGCGGTTTTGTCGTGCCACGTATCTTAATAGCCCACTTACCTCTTTCTCCCGGGGTTCCAGGTTGGCCAGGATTGCCAGGGAAACCTGGGCTTCCTGAAGCTCCTTGCTCTCCCTGTGGCCCAGGTAAGCCTTGCCGTCCTGGTTCACCAGGGGGGCCTGGGACAGTTCGTGTAGCGATCGAGTTGCTTGGAATCTGATTTAAGATGGAGTTGTATCTAGCCAGATGAGCTGCCAAGCAGAGAAATGCAGAGAACATAAGCCTCAACCAAGGACTCTATCTTGATTGAGTTCTATGTTAATAAGAAGGATAAGGGGGCATCGGTTTGAGAGTTGTGAGTTGGGTCTGGCCAGGGTTGGGCTGCTACGGGTTTGCCCATAGTTAATGTTATGGCTGGTTTGGAAAACCTCCAAATCCCACCCCTGGCTATCCCTGCCCACCCCCTCCCCTCCCACCTCACCTCTCCCAGGAGTCTCCATGCAGCCCATTTTGGATGCACGGTAAGTTCAGGGCCCACACGGAGGCTCGGGTAGGGGGGGGAAACAGGCCTCCCAGAATTGCAAAAGGGCGGAAACGGGTCTGTTTCCAGCCTCTAGAGGGCTTCCGGAGCCCTGGAGAGGCAGTTTTCACCCTCCCAGACGCTCAAGGAAAGCCTCTGGAGCCAGGGGAAGGCGAAAATGTCCACCCCAGTGTGGTGCAGGAGGCCAACTAGGCCATGCCCGCCATGGCCACGCCCACCCAGCAACCAGACAGAGAACCTTTTGCTGATATTTTTGAAGCCCACCCTTGGATCTGGCCCAATAAATTCCACAGAAATGTGTTTTTTTAAAATACACAAATACATCTAGCAGCTAAAACCTACAACTTATTAGAACAATGATATTACAGTGGTTTTTGTACTCACTCTGAATAAGCTGTTCACACACCTGACGAGCTACTGCCCGTACCATTGAATGGGTCTGAAGATCTCCCTGTACATTAAGGATATAGTGAGACAACAGCTCCTATAAGCTGCATAAAACACAGATGTTCCTCCCGTAACAATCCATCTTCACTAACTTGACCTCTTCCAAATGTGTTGAGAATACAATTCTTTGAACTTTTAATCCCCATGTGGCTTCCTAGGAATCCCAACTTATCTGGAGGATACTAAACTGTGAAAAGGTTGGGCTATCTTGGCATCACAACCTCTGGTGTCTGCTCACAAGGCCCACGGGACCTACTCCTACATAAACAGACGTAGGACTGTCGCCTACAGATCCTGAAAAAAGAACAAGCCACCTCCCAAAGTAGTACTTTATTCTAAAAATAAAGAAGCTGTCCACAAAATCTGTGATTAAGGCACTTACACGTTCGCCTTTCTCGCCTTTTACTCCAGGAAGTCCCTGGGATGGAGGGAAGCACAAAATGTAATGTAAATAAGTTCCACAGTCCTTTGTAATTCACTGGCTTTTATAATTGCGGCAACGTGTAAGTCATGGGTTTTCAACCTCACTGCAACATTAGTTATTTAAGAAAGATGGTTTTCCCAGTTGCAATGTGTGGCTGTGAAGGTTGGAGAATAAGAAAGGCTGAGCACCAAAGAATGGAGGGCTTTGAACTATGGTGCTGGAGAAGACTCCTGCGAGTCTCTTTAGAAGGCCAGATCCTAAAGATGGAACTCAAATACTTTGGCCACCTAATGAGAAGGAAGGACTCCCTGGAGAAGAGCCTAATGCTGGGAAAGATTGAGGGCAAAAGAAGAAGGGGATGAGAGAGAATGAGGTGGCTGGATGGAGTCACCAAAGCAGTCGGTGTGAGCTTAAATGGACGCCAGAGGATGGTAGAGGACAGGAAGACCTGGAGGAATGTTGTCCATGGGGTTGCAATGGGTCAGACACAATTTCACAACTAACAACAACAAAGAAAGAAAGATGGGATTGTACTTCCCAATACACTTCAAAGATGACTGCAAAGTTTAGCAATATTAGTTATGGTATCTTTGTGATGAGATGTAATATTTAGACCCCATTTAAAACAATAAAAACTAACAAAAAGAATCAAAATATAGTACACTATAACAAAATCACCTCCCATCTCCCCGCCCCGGCGACAGCAGATCACACTAGTGATTTAATGGGCTCCATCCTGCTCTGGTTTCCCCAGGCCCACTGGCAGAACTGGGTCTTCAGAGCCTTCCAGAAGAGTATTAGAGTGGGGGCCATTCTAATCGCTGGGGGAATGATGTTACAGAGAGAGGGAGCCACCATGGAGAAGGCCCTTCTTCTGGGTCCCACCAATATATGCTCATGAAGAGCTTTTGGCCATCTAGATATTGGCTGATATTTGGGTTAGGATGAAGATATCTGTGTATATAATAAGTATAAGAGCCGTGGAAGCGCAGTGGTTAGAATATAGTATTGCATAATTCTGCCAACTGCCAGCAGTTCGATTCTCATCGGTTCAGGTTTGACTCGGCCTTCCATATTTCTGAGGTTGGTAAAATGAGGACCCAGATTGTTGGGAGCAATAGGCTGACTCTGTAAACCTCTTAGAGAGGGCTGTAAAGCACTGTAAAGCGGTTTATGCATCTAAGTGCTATTGCTATAATAGCTTCCAAGAACTGTCGTATTCCAGGCAGATGTTCATAGCAGATCCCACACTCAGCAGTAACATCTTTCAAACTCTGCTCTATCGGGGAACATGTGTAAAAAGACTTCTTGGAAGACAGCCATTGTTTTCATTCTAAGTCAAAGAAAAACATTCAAATAGAGCTGTTTTAAATGTCTACAGAGGCGAAGTAAACGTTACTTTGGTACTGCAGTTACAAAACATTCAGTGTTCCAGAATCATTTCCGTCTAGGCACATGGACCAAGATAGATAGAGATAGACCAAAGCAGGGGTGGGCTGCTGGGGGTTCGCAGGGGTTCAGGAGAACCTCTATTTGAGAACCTCTGTGCAGTTTGGAGAATTCCCAAATCCCACTCTTGGCTGGCCCCGCCTACCCCCCCCCTCCCAGGAGTCCCCACGCAGCCCATTCTGGATGCAGGTAAGTGCAGGCATGCACGGAGGCTTGGGGAGGGCAAAAAATGAGCCTACTGGAAGTTCATTTCTGGCCTCATCTGGAGCCTGAGGCCATTTATGCCTTCCTGGATGCTCGAGGAAAGCCTCTGGAGGGAACCAGGCAGAGAACCCCTTGCTAAAATTTTTGAAGCCCGCCACTGGACCAAAGTGGAAGTTTTCTCAGCTATCTTCTGAAAATCTTCCACCCTCCACCAACATTACAGCATTGGGGTGTGGGGAAGAGATTTACAGGGCATTCAAAGGCTACTTGCTTTAGGGGGAAGGGTATGATTTTGTGAAAATCATGGCTAGGTGGCAAAATGAAATATTTGCTCCCTACAGATATGAAATATTATTTTCCTTTAAAAGGATGGATTCCAATTTGGCTCTGAGGATGTTAAAAGAATGTCCAGGGCTCCAGGAGAGATCATATCACATATCAAAGTGGTTGGAACACAACAGATCCAGTTTTGATCACGATAATGGCTCAGGCAAGTGGCTGGATTTCTAGGTTCTCCCACCACGTTGTCATTTGTGTCTGCTTGAGAAGACATTTGATTGATGATTTGAGGAACTGTCCCAGCCATTTCACATGGAAGGCAAACAGCATATTCGTCATCGTGAGGTTTACATTTCTAAGGTATCGTTGAGGAGGTCCATTAAAATTAAAGATGGACCTACAAAATATGCATTGAACTATTCTCTTATATACCACAATATAGAAGTAAATTAGCCATTATTATTTCTTTTAATTGATCATTGAATTAATAATAGTTCAAAGTTATGAGGGCATTGGAAAAAATGACTTATCATTGGTCTTAACTTATGACCATCTCAGTATTCCCTGGGTTAAAGATAAAGGTTCTCCTCGCACATATGTGCTAGTCGTTCCTGACTCTAGGGAGCAGTGCTCATTGCCCTTTCAAAGCCAAAGAACCAGCGCTGTCCGAAGACATCTCCGTGGTCATGTGGCCGGCATGACTCAACACTGAAGGCGCACAGAACGCTATTTCCTATTTTTCTACTTGCATTTTTACGTGCTTTCAAATTGCTAGGTTGGCAGAAGCTGGGACAAATAACGGGAGCTCACTCTGTTACGCGGCGCTAGGGATTCAAACTGCCGAACTGCCGACCTTTCTGATCAACAAGCTCATCATCTTAGCCACTGAGCCATAGCATCCCTATATTCTCTGGGTTAGATCAGATTCTAGATTCTCTAGATCAAAATTTGGGCACTTGACAACTGGTATTTATTTATGACAGTTCTAGCACCCTGGGGTCACATAATCATCATTTGTGATCTTCCCAGAGGGCTTCTGAGAACAAAGTCAAGGAGGGAAACTGGCAACCATGGAAAAATGGGTCATAAAATCAGCCACAACTCACTTAACAGCCACATTGCTTGCTGATGTAAGTTTCAGTCCCAATTATGGTCATAAGCAAGGACTATCTGTGCACACACACACAGAGGAAAGGAGGGAGGGAGGGAGGGAGGGAGGG